GCCTAGTCCTCATCAGAATGATGGGAAAGGTGGGTCTGCAATGTGTACAAAAGTACAGAAAACCAGGATAAGCCACAGACATGACAGTGGCACCCAGGAGCTAAAGCTCCTCTCTGCAGTCAGAGGTAGCAGGAACACACACACACACATACACACATACACATATACACATACACACACATGCACACATATGCACACATACATACACACAAAAACACACACATACACACATGCACACATACATACACATACACACAAACACACACACATACACACACACACATACACACACACACTTGCTGTATGTTCTGATTTGCCAACAATTGAGAAATCCAAAGAGGTGTCTGCTGCTGAGGGAAGGAATCAGGATTAAGGATGCAGAAGTGCAGGCTGGGGGAGTCCTGACAGGTCAACTGGTCAAAAGTGGAGAACAGACCCTCTAACAGGACAAACTACATTCCTGATCTGTACATGGATGGTTGAGAGCAGTCCTGTCACCTGGGACTGGGCCTGAGAAGAGGGCATGAGTACAGGTGTGCAGAAGGCCAGGCAGGGACCAGCCCTCTTCTGTGGCCTTACTGCATGGGTGTGCCCTGTGACATCTAAGGAGAGAACTAAGTATGGTAGGCTCCCTACACCCACCCCTGGAGCCATTCCTGCACCCAGTGGCTGGCATTTTTCTCTGGGCTCATCCTAGGGCCCTCCTTAGTGCTGCTACTTCAAGGGGCACCATCTCAGCCATTATATAGCTAGACCTCCTGGAGGGGGTCTGCTCACAGGGTCACTGGGTCCAACCACCCACACTTTTGGACCTGTGTGGCCACACTTCAATGTGCACCTGCTCCCAGGGTGGCTGAGATCCTGGGAAGAGCAGTGCAGGCAACTTGATCCTGAAACAGACACCTCCTGAGGAGATGGCAGGAGAGTTTGGACACACAAAGGTCTGGCATGGGCCTCCATTGACCCATGGGACCAGACGCAGCCACAATCTTTCCCTTTGGTGACGTCCCACGTACTATGCACATCATGGCTCCCCCAAATTTCCAGGCGAATCTGGGCAGTGGCTCACCCAGGGCATGGCTGCCTCCACACCTTCTGCTTGCTGGCTGAGTTCCGTTCTACCCACACCAGCCTCCACCAACAAGAGTAGCCGCCTGAGCAGAGCAAAGAGCACTGGACCTCGGGTCAGGAAACCTGAGCATTTTGTATCACCAGACAAATTGCATGTGTCACCTGCAAGGTTTCACTGGACTTGAAACAAATTCACTCCACCAGGAGGTATTTTTCACTGAAGGATCCAGGTGTACACAAGCAGAGTGTTTACACAGAAGAGTGAGTAGGAGTTGGCTGGGCTGTGGCTGGTGTGGGAAAAACTGTGTTGGGGGAACATGCTAAGCTTCATAGGCAAACCCCAGAGAGGCAAAAATGGACCTCTTCCCGAGGAGATTCCCCCTTCCCTTAGCACCCCAGCAGAGATGGAAGCCTGAAATCCAAGAGGCCTGGTGGACCATGACTCTGCTGCTCATGAGATGTGTCGTTTGGACAAATTGTTGAAGCCCTGGAGCCTCTCAGTCCTGCTCTCTAGCACACAGAGCTCAGACCTCCTTCTTAGGGCTGTGAAGAAGCTGACACTTTGAGAGGACAGAGTTCACAGAGCAACTGAAAAGAGGTTTAAACATAGCACATCCCCCATGAATGGAGGCTGTTATCTCCTGTGTTCTTTGCCTAGTTCCCATTGCACTAACACTTGTGTTGAACCAGGGCAACACTTGGAAGGAAAACAAGTGTACCTTCCAAATGTCAAAGGTGGAGAACAGGCTCACTGACAGGGAAGACCACATTCCTGGTCTGTGCATGGATGGTTGAAAGCCGGCCTGTCACCTGGGACTTGGGCAGTCCTCACTCAGATCTGGTACACTGGGGTCAGCCTCTGTCCAACTTTCCACCAACACCACATGACTGTTTCTAACCTGCCAACCACCAGCTTCACAACTTTACCTCATCCTATCACCTCCCTTCCCTTCCTCTAAACTGCCAGAAGCAACCTCAGCCCTTGTGTCACACTGAGATTGGAAGACACCTAAGCACCCTGTGCTGGATCTTCATGGAGGAACTCATTGCACCCTGCACTTCCCTTGGATGGGTCCTGGGAGGACACTGGGCACTAGACACAAGCCCTGACACCATCTCCATGAACTCTGGCTGAACTCAGACATCCTTTACCAGCCTGCAAGCCTCTCCTAGTACTCCCAGCCCCACCTGTGTCTTACAGTGCTGACTTTGCAGCCATTCTAAGCTGCAATGGGTCACATCCTCTAACAGTAAGAGCATGCTTTTCCCTCCTGGTGATGATACACATGGAAAGGAGCCATGCAGTATAGACTGGATGCCGTGCCCAGGCTCAACACACTCTGCCCTGTTGCATGCATGCTTCACCTGTACACCAGCACCAGGCCAAGCCTCCGTTCCCCTCCCTGGCTAGCTCCTAGGATTCTTCAGGGTCCCACAAAGATCTCTTTGTCAGAACAGACTTCCCCAGCACCCTAGGTCCCAGGCTAGATAAACCCCTGCCTTTGCTCAAATGCATCCCATGCTTTCCCTTCTACTCTTGTCCCCAGTTTGCAGGGTTGCTCCCAGAGCCTACACCAGATACCTACACTCAACTCAGTGTCTGGAGCACACATAACCCAGCACTCTTTGAGGCCCGAGTGACACATGTAGTGGGATCTGGGAACCCACAGCAGCTCAGCCAGGCTGAATCCTAAGCACCCTCAAGCCCTGAGCAAGATTCTCACAGCCTGGTATGGTCCTCCTAGGGCACATCCAAGTGGCAGGAAGTGCGAGATTTAATTAATTTTTTATAAGGACCTGGCCCAACGTGCCTAGACAGTCTGACCCCAGGCCTCAGAGGAACAGAAAGGTTCCAGATGCCCTCATCTGGCCTGGCTTAGTAACATCACATGGCCATAGTCAGCTGGGTTACCCATGGGAAGAGGATCATTACAGATGGGATAGAGGTCCATGGTCAGGCCTGCCCAGTTCCCCAGTGCCCACCCAAGTAGGGGAAACAGACATGAAGCAGAATATGGGCATTAGTAAGTGAGTGTAGGGCTCCCAACTGGATGCAAGGATGACTCACCATGCCAGAGACCCATGATGACATGGGACTTGACAGAGGATGGGAGAGTTGAGGCCAAGAATTCTTATAGGACTGGGTGTCCTTTATGGTACTCAGGGCCCTCTTTGCTGAGAGATTTCAAAACGTGATCCCAAATGGTAGGCAGGGTCAGACCTACAGATGTGGAGAGGGAGAAGGGCTGGCCGAAGGGACCAGGTCCTGGGGGACCAGTAAAGTTGCCAAGAGAAAGACCAGAAAGAATGGGCCCAGGTGCTGACCTTCACAGAGCCAGTCAAGGAAAGAGCTTGAGGAAGTGGGCCTCTGGCTGCCAGTGCTGGCTGTGACCAGGCCTGAGAAGAGGGCATGAAAACATGTGGGAGAAGGCCATGCAGGGACCAGCCCTCTCCTGTGGCCTCTAATGAGAGAACTAGGTCTGGTGCACTCCCTACACCCACCCCTGGAGCCATTCCTGCACCCAGTGGCTGGCATTTCTGTCTGGGCTCATCCTAGGGTCCTCCTTAGTGCTGCTACTTCAAGAGGCACATCTCAGCCATCTATAGCTAGACTTTGGGCAGACCCTCCTGGAGGGAGTCTGCTCACAGACTCACTGGGTCCAGGCACCCACACTTTTGGACCTGTGTGGCCACACTTCAATGTGCACCTGCTCCCAGGGTGGCTGAGATCCTGGGAAGAGCAGTGCAGGCACATTGGTCCTGAAACAAACTCCTCCTGAGGAGACGGCAGGAGAGTTTGGGCCTCCATTGACCCATGGGACCAGATGCAGCCACAATCTTCCCCTTTGGTGATGTCCCATGTACTGTGCACATCATGGCTCCCCCAAATTTCCAGGCGAATCTGGGCAGTGGCTCACCCAGGGCATGGCTGCCTCCACACCTTCTGCTTGCTGGCTGAGTTCCGTTCCACCCACACCAGCCTCCACCAGCAAGAGTAGCCGCCTGAGCAGAGCAAAGAGCACTGGACCTCGGGTCAGGAAACCTGAGCATTTTGTATCACCAGACAAATTGCATGTGTCACCTGCAAGGTTTCACTGGACTTGAAACAAATTCACTCCACCAGGAGGTATTTTTCACTGAAGGATCCAGGTGTACACAAGCAGAGTGTTTACACAGAAGAGTGAGTAGGAGTTGGCTGGGCTGTGGCTGGTGTGGGAAAAACTGTGTTGGGGGAACATGCTAAGCTTCATAGGCAAACCCCAGAGAGGCAAAAATGGACCTCTTCCCGAGGAGATTCCCCCTTCCCTTAGCACCCCAGCAGAGATGGAAGCCTGAAATCCAAGAGGCCTGGTGGACCATGCCTCTGCTGCTCATGAGATGTGTCGTTTGGACAAATTGTTGAAGCCCTGGAGCCTCTCAGTCCTACTCTCTAGCACACAGAGCTCAGACCTCCTTCTTAGGGCTGTGAAGAAGCTGACACTTTGAGAGGACAGAGTTCACAGAGCAACTGAAAAGAGGTTTAAACATAGCACATCCCCCATGAATGGAGGCTGTTGTCTCCTTTTGTCCTTTGCCGAGCTCCCATGGCACTGTTGATTTTGTAGGACAAGTGCAATACTTGGAATGAACGCATGTGTACTTTTTTGTTCCACATTAGCTGAACTCATCTGAAACTACAGTGGTTGCTTACTAAGTCGGCTTTCAAAGACTTCCTCAGAATTTCCAGTGTGTGGGATTGCCACCGCCCAAACATTCAGCATTGAATCCTCTGATCCTCAGGGCAGGCCTGGGCAGTTCCTTGGAGCCTCAGGAGGGGCCCAGAGCCAAGAAGAGCACAGAGGGAGTGGAGGTGGGTAGGGGTGGGCCTGGGTGGGGCTTGAGCCTACTTAAACCACCACACCCGCTGACGTGTCTGATCAGCAGGTCAGTGTGCAACAGGGGCTGACTTGGGCAGTAGCTGTATAGAAGCAGACTAGTGTCTGTTCATCTCCCCAGGAAAGGTGGCCTTGAGGTGAACAAGATGGCCTGGTGGAAAGCTTGGGTAAGTAGGGGCAAGTGGGAGAGTCAGGTTCCTGTACCAAGCTGGGTGATGATGGGAACTTGGGGGGGCCCAAGAGAATGTAAAGGCAGAAACTGCTATGCCAAGCCCTGGAAAGAAAACAGGGAAGAAACTGCCCATGCCTAGAGGAGCTCCTGGCAGAGATGAGACTGGAGGCAGGGGTTGGGGATTGGGGCGATTGAAGTGGACAAACAAAGAAACCTTGACATGCAATGGGGTTATTGAGAGACAGGGGGAGTCCAGAGGTAGGCCCCTGAGAGGTAAGACCACTTGAGAAGGGGTTTCCTGCTTGAGTTTTCTGTGTGAATGTGTGGTGTATGTACTTGTGCCTGCTTCTGGAGAGAATCCAGCACACTCCTCCTTGCAGAGAAGAGTATATGAGAGGTGAAGGAGGGCGGGAGGCTAGGCTCTGGGGGGAATTAGCTCAATATGGCTTGAATACCCTAGGTAAGTTAGAGATGAATCTGGAGAAGCAAGCAGGGCAGATCCTTTAGAATCACATGTCAAGCTGCAGAGTTTGCATTTAATCTTAACAGCAGTGGGGAGCCATTGAAGGGCTTTGACCTAGAGAGTAACCTGGGGGAATATGCTGCTGTTGGGGAGCCAATCAATATCCATGACTTGGAGCATGGGAGAGTAAATAGGCACCAGGGATGGATCAGTGGCATTTCTTTTCCAATATGGCAGGCGGGGAGGGTGGTAAGCAGGAGAACTTGGCCTGGAAGAACTGTGTGGCTCAAATCCACACCTTCTAGGGTGACCAGGGACTTGGGGGCCACACATTGCAATTGCCAGCTGCATTGACAGATATTCGAGAGCTTTCTGTCTGAGTCTGAGTCTGGAAAAGGTTGACTCATTAGTGGAGGGGGAGGTGGACAGAGATTCTGCATCAATCTGTGGGTAAAGTGCCAACATCACCACTTACTAGCTGTGTCACCAAGTTCAGGTTCCTGGCCTGTAAAATGAGACATTAACACTAACTTATCTAGTACAATTGCTGGGAAAGACCTTAAGCTATACTTTGTACCCAATGCACCTGACAGAGGGGAAAGGAAGAGGGAAAGGGAAAGGGAGGGGAAGAGAGAGGGAGAAGGAAGAGATATGGGGAGGGAAAAGGAAAGGGAGGGGAGGAGAAGGAAGTGAGAAAAGGAAAGGGAGCAGGGCAGGAAGCTTTGTCACCAAGCCCAGGTTCCCGTCCTGTAAAAAAGGCATTAATGCTTACTTATCTAGTGCAATTGCTGGGAAATTAAGCTACACTTTGTATCCAATGTGAGGGGGGAGAGAAAAGAAAGGGAAAGTGAAGGAGAAGGGAAAGGAAAGAGGGTAGAGGAAGGGAAGGGAAAGGAAAGGGAAGGGGAAAAGGAAGGGAAGGGAAAAGGAAAGGGAAAGGAAGGGGAGGGGAGGGGAGGAGAGCAGAGGAGAGGAAAGGAATGGAGGGTAGCTGGGTGGATGTAGTGATTAAATAACTAAGTGGAGAATGGATGAATAGATGACTGGATGAGTGGGTGGGTGGGAAAGCAGGTAGGTGGGTGGAGGCAATGAAAGAATTCAGTGAATAGGTAAGTGGAAGATCAGATTGAATGTGACTAAGCTCCTTTCCATTTGAAGGATTTCTGAATCTCCCTCAGGTTAAATGCCTATCTACAACTCCCCTCCACCCCTTACCATCTGTCCCCACAAGGCATATCCTTAGAGGTCATTCATCTTAAGCATCAGAGAAACCATGCTGGGCACACATCTAAGCAGCCCTCAGGCATACCCTGAATTGGATGCTTGCAAGACACTGGCCCAGGTTATCTGGTTTATTTTTAGGTTGTCTAGTTTACTTTTGCAATCCACAGAGTGTCCTGCAATTCTTTCTAAACCTTTTCCTCTGACCTCCATGAGCCTGTGGACTCGTAAACCCCCTGAGCATAGGAGAGGGCAGGCTGAGTTCAAGCCATTCCTTGCAAACAAAAAACCATGCCAAGATGCATGCTCAAGACAGTCATTCAGCTCCAGGAAGCCATTCCTTATGCACTGATTTTCCCACCCTTCCTGCTGCGATGGCACTGGAGACAGTAAACTTGCTGCCTACCCTCAGGTGGCCCAGGTGAGGATAGGAGAGACTTAGTGGCTTCTCCCTGCAAGATCTTTCCTCAGAGGCTCTGGTCGGGGCTCAGCCACTGACCTGCACTGGCCTAGCTGGGCTCAGTGCTAAGGGAAGTTACTTACCTTGCCCGGGGGGGCTACAAGGTGGGCCAGGAGACTTCTCCACCTTCCCTGCCCCATCCTGAATTGGGCAAGCATGGATCTTTTGCAGGTTGAACAGGAGGGTATCACAGTGAAGGAGAGCTCCCACTTCAACCCAGACCCTGATGCAGAAATCCTCTACAAAGCCATGAAGGGAATCGGTGAGTGACTATCCTCGGCCTTGCCATTGGATGGCTGTACCTATCTGGGGCTCCATGTCTACTAACAGCCCTGAAAAGTAGATGACAAGGGATAGCCAAAGGTATCCCTGTTTTACTCTAAGAGTAACTCCTTTACTCAGTACCTCACATAGGCACCAGGGTGGGTGACTGTTCCTTCCTGAGTAGCGGGGATGTGAGGGGAGATATTTGCTGTGTCCTTGACCAGGTGGCTTCACCCCCCCAGTCTGAGCCTTCTTACTTGTAAAAAGACCCTAGGAATTCTGGACTCCCTGTGTCACTGTGATTTTTAGATGAGATGGTCCTGGCTCAGGGCCCGGCATGGGTGTATAGATTCCCAAGTTCACCAGGGCTGCCCAAGGGTCCGTGGCACATTAGCCATGTAGGTTCTGCAGCTTGCCTCCACCCCACGTTGACTGGCCAAAGAGATCACTTCCTTCCTGTATCCAGTATTTGCCCAGTGCCAACCTCCACATGACCATGAGTGGTAAAGGATGGCCAGCCCACAGTATAAGCCCTGGTCTCACCCCAGCCAGGTTTCACCCCTCAGCTGGCTCTGCCTGGTAAGCATTGAGAAGAGCTACCATTCCTAGGCTCATTCCTAGATGAGCATCCTCATGTCTTCTGTTTCCTGTGAAATCTTTGCTGTTAAACCTACTTCCCACATGAACAAAGGATGCATGCTTGTCCAACACTGCACAGTCCACAAGTGACTGGGGTGGATCTCAGACCCAGTGGTCTGAACTCTTGGTCATGACCTTCTCCACCATGACCAACACAAGGGAAGGCAGGTAGGGAAAACTCACTTGGCCAAACTGCAATGCCCAGGGGCAATGATATCCAAAGCCTCTTAGTGCTCAGATTCTATTGCTGTGAAGCTAAACCTGAGTCATACCCCAACATCATGTGGGTAGGAAGTGGGGAAAAAGAGGTAGATTTTCTGTCTTGTTTACACCATGAAAAAAAAAAGCCATTCAGGCATTTAGAGCTATCCAGGTGATGTTCCCACTGCTCAGCCACGAAGCAGCTGCCCTCACCAGCCCTCGCTGGTCACCTGGAAGTAGAGGGGTTCTCATACTGTATACCCCTGCAGGGACCAATGAGCAGGCCATCATCGATGTGCTCACCAAGAGAAGCAATGCACAGCGGCAGCAGATCGCCAAGTCCTTCAAGGCTCAGTTTGGCAAGGTAAGGCGGTGCTGGGGCTGCAGATGGGGGCAGCTCCATCCTGGAGGAGATCCTTCACTGAAACTCATTGGAAACATGTGTATATGGGACATTCTTACACTAAAGCTATTGGGGTTTTTTCCATCTGAAATTCAAGTTTAACTGATTGTTCTGTTTTAACTGGCAGACCTAGTTATAGCTACTGAGCCCTACCCTGGTGCTGGCCTTCTGCAACCCAGCCCCACTTCCTTTTCAGTTTTCTCTCTCCTTGTGATCTTCACAGGTGCTCCTCAGGGTCCGTCCTGAGCCCTGTTTTCTGCCTCCCTGCCTGCTGTCACATGCTTTTCATGTTGGCACTACTTGTACTGTGCTTCATCTCTTCTGCCACCAGGAAACTCTACAAGCACTCTACTCGGCCACTGCCCCTAGCACAGAGCCCTTTGGAGGTGCATGTTGAATGCAGTAAGAAATGCATGCACAGCCACCATGCTTGGAAGTCTCCATTGGCTTAAGCCATTTCTTTTTTGGGATTTAACTTGGGAAGATCAGTGATGAAGCCCAAATATTTCCTTGGAGAAACCGACATGCATTTTTACAGTCCCTCTCCCTTAATCTTCAGAGCTATGCATTATTCTCCACATCCAACACTTAGGGAAACCGAAGTTCAGAGAGGTTGAGTAAGTTGCCCAAGGTCCCAAAGGTTGTAGCCAATAGGTCTAACAAAACCCGTGGTCTCTGCTGCTCTGTGCAGATAGATGGGTGTGTCCTGCTGGCTTTTTGTGGCATGTGTCCTTAGAAAAAAAGACACATATGAGTCACAGTTTTTCTTTCCTTCTTTCCTTCCCTCCTTCCCTCCTTCCTTCCTTTCTTTCTTCTTCCTTTGCTCCTTCCCACCCTCCCTCTCTTCCTTCATTGAATGTCTGTATGCTAATGACAGGCATTTAATGGTTAGCTAAGTAACACACTGCCATCCTCAGAGCTTGCAGTCTTGGAAGCCATGGCAACTTTGTCTTATATGAGCTTAGCATGTGCCCAGCACTGCTTGAGTTGCACTCTCCATCACCCCCTAAGCAATGGAATGAAGCAGAAGTTCCACTATCTTCATCTAACACGTGAGGACGCTGATGCTCAGAGAGACTAGGCAGCTGGCCCAAGAGACTGTAGTCAGCACTTGACAGAGGCCATGTGGGAATGCAGCTCAAGCCCCTGGGCACAGTTGCCACCTGCACCCTAGAAGACAGGTCATCTCACCTTCCCTTGCTCCTGCCTTAGGACCTCACAGAGACCTTGAAGTTGGAGCTGAGGGGCAATTTTGAGAGACTCATGGTTGCCCTCATGTACCCACCATACAGATATGAGGCCAAGGAACTGCACGATGCCATGAAGGTAACTCCCCCTGAGCCACGTTTTGGAATGGGCACCTGGGACCTGGCTGAGTCCAGTGACCTTATAGCCAGCTGCTCAGAAGGCTACCTAACACCAAGACTGATAGGTCACAAGGAAGCTCAAATCACTACTTCTCAAAATAAGGCTAGACCAGGAGTGCAGTTCCATGCACAAGCCTCTCTAGCCCCCTTTACTTCTCACCACCCCTTTTGTTTTGAAGATTGAGGGATTGGGGCCCCAGTACAAGGATCATTTCCACTAAAAGAGTACTTATTGTATAAGTGGTTCCAGGCACTTTGCATTTGGGTGGGGATACTTACTTATCCCTACTTTCCGATTAGGAAGCTTAGGTTCCACAGGTGGAGCTGCCTGTACAGGATCACCCACCTAAGGAGGGAAAATTGAGGCAGAGCTTGACCTCAGTATCCATCACTAGAGACAAATGTGAGGATTTCCCCAGTAACACCCTCCATCAGAGGCCCCATCAGATCTCAGAGTGAGGCAGAGCAGTGGCCAATGCTTCCTGAAGCTCAGGCAATTAGAGAAGAGAGGGTGTGGATAAGAACAGGAGGGCCACGAGCAGAGCACTCCAGCACACAGAGGTTTCTCTCCCCAGGGCTTAGGAACCAGAGAGGGGGTCATCATTGAGATCCTGGCCTCTCGGACCAAACACCAGCTGCAGGAGATAATGAAGGCATACAAGGAAGGTAAGGGGCTGTAAAGATGGATGAGTTTAAATGCTTGCTTGGAAATGGCACAAACTTTGGCAGCCTGGCAGGAAACTGGGCCACACTGGAAAGGACCCTTTGGGGCAAAAGCCAGCTAGTCCTCCCTGTGTGTACCTACTGGGGAGTTTGCCTGAAGGCTATGACTTTGCCAAGCCTGTAGATGAAATTCAGTTCCATCGGTAGCTCCTAGACTTGCTCTCTGACCCCATCTCTATGCATTGAGCTTGTACCTTGAGTGCCAGGTCACTTCTGGTTTTGAATGATCAACCAACTGACAGATCTCTTGGCACCTATATGTTGTGTGCACACCCTGTGCAAAGTCTTGTCCTTCCTAGAAGGCTTTTATAGGGAGAAGTGTGGGAAACAGGTCTGGAGGAGGAAAGTAACCCCTGGTCAGACCCTGGGCCTATGCCTCTTGGTGCTGTATCCCTGCAGACTATGGGTCCAGCCTGGAGAAAGACATCCAAGCAGACACAAGAGGCTACCTGGAGCGGATGCTGGTGTGCCTCCTACAGGTATCACAACCTAAGCTCCCAGTGCTATGTGGCTTGGGGCTCTCAACAGCTCCACCCCCGGGAGCAGCCCCCAAGCAGAGCACAAAGGTGGGGGCAGGGCCATGGGATAACCCAGTGGTCTGGGTTCATTGGGTACATCTCAGCATGGTGGGAGTTCAGAGCCCTTGTACCTCTCCTGACTCAGCCAAGTGAGTCATCTTGGGAATGAGAGGAGTGCACCCTGTTACCGAGAAGGTCCTTCATGTAAGCCCCATGTCAGGCTTTACGCCTAGCTGAGCTTGCCAAATCCTCAATCCCCATGAGGCAGCCCTTTACTCCGGTCATACAGATGAGAAAACTGAGGCTTGGAGAGGATAGCTGGCTTGCTGAAGGCCCCATGACCAAAAAACAGCAGTCAATACTGCTCTGCCTATCCTCTGAGCCGCACTGTCCCCTCAGCTTCTTATGCTCTGGCCTACCTAACAGAGCTATCTCCTCTACTCCTAGGGCAGCAGGGATGATGTGAGCGGCTTTGTGGACTCAGGACTGGCCCTCCAAGATGCACAGGTGAGGCTGTGCCCTGCCCCTGCCATCTGGACTCAAGGACAGACTGTTGGGAGCCTCACCAACCCCTCTGCTTAGGGGTCTTTTTTTGACATAGGCTGGGGTTCGACAAGCCAGCTCCCTGCCTCTGGTATCTAAGGGGAAACTGAGGTTGTCAGAGAGACTCCAAAGAAGGAATGGGAGAGGCTGAGAGAAGGAAGATAAAGCTTGGTGCTGGCAGGACTAGCCCACCAACCTGAGGGCTCTGAGCCTAGGGCGGGACATGCATATTCAGACCTCTGTGTATCCGTCTGCTGGTAGAGAGTTGATGTGCAGTGCTCCCAGAGGTAGGAAGGGGTGTGTCCCCTAAAGTACCTTTGGTTTCAGTGTGGAGAAGAGCTTTGAAAGCAGAGCTGTTGGAGGACAAAGAGCTTGGGACTGTGCACTCCCTGTCAAAGAGAATGCTGGCCTGGCCAAGTGGACAGGAGCTGATCAATTCCAGAGCTCTGGGTTTTGGCCCTCACCTCCATGGTCTCATTCGCTGGCTTGCTATGTCCCAATCCTAGGATCTGCATGCAGCAGGTGAGAAGATTCTCGGAACTGACGAGATGAAATTCATCACCATCCTGTGCACACGCAGTGCCACTCACCTGATGAGAGGTACAGGATGCAGCAAGGCTGTGCTGGGTACCGGGCCTTCTGCAGAGCCTCTCCCTTCATACTGGACATCCAGGGTGTGGTCTTGTCCAGTCTTGGAGGTGGGGACAGAGCCAGCAAGCCCAGGACTCTTCCCCTGGCCACCAAAAGGGAGGGAAGATGGCACATTGGTGTGCAATCTGTAATCTGCATGTCCCCTAAATTGGCCTTCTTCCCACAGTGTTTGAGGAGTATGAGAAAATCGCCAACAAGAGCATTGAAGACAGCATCAAGAGTGAGACTCATGGCTCGCTGGAGGAGGCTATGCTCACCGTGGGTAAGAACCAGGGCTTGGTGCTTGGAGACACATGTGTCAGCAGACCCAAGGAGGTGATAGCAAATGACTAGATCCCCACCCCTGATGCTCTCAGCCTATACCCCAGGACCCCAGGACTATTCCATCCCTAGTCTCAGTGTGTCCTGTTGGAACTGTTCTTTGTTCTACTTGCGTGGTCCCCAGTGCTGCAGGAATATCTGCACATGTACACAAGTGCGTGAGTATGTGTTAGAGAGAGAGAGAACATGCATGTCCATGATGATACCAGGTCCAGGTCCTGAGCCCATCTACAGCAGTCACATAGGGAGCATTCTGTTTCGGTTGTGTAGCCCTGAGCAAAGCCACCTCTCTGAACCTGAGCTAAACACCCAGACCCCACCTCAGTTGCCAATTGGAGAAATGATGATGTGTGATTTGAGTCCCAACCAAAAGGTTGATGGTCTGATACTGGGAACATTGAGAACTTTCCCCAACACAGTAGGACCCATCCCAGAGCACATCTTGGGGTCCAGAACTAAGATTAAAATGGAAAGAGTCACTGCAGGTCACCTCCCCAGATGAGATGATCCCAGCAGCCAGGGGGCTCCCCATTGCATCCCTTTCTCCCTAATAGATGTTAACATCTGAGACTCCCATGCCAACTTTGATGACTGTGAAAAAATCCAGTCTATGTTGGAGTATCTAGGCATGCCCCCTGCTCCAGTCTCAGCTTCCAAAGCCTGTCCCTAGATCCTAGAAAATAACACCTCCTAAACAGAGAAGCTGTGCAGGCCCTGCTGTGCTGGGCACTTCCTATTCATTTCTCCTTAAAGCCTCACTCACTCTCACATCATAGATAAGTCAGAAGGTTGAGTAACAAAGTCACACAGCACCATCGAGGCAGAGTTTAGACACATGTCTACTTCCCTCTCTCAAAGCCAACGCTCCTTCAGCAGCTACCTCCCGTGTAGGTGCCAAGCCTCTGCATCAACATCCATGAGCAATGCATCCATAGAAGAACAAACACTGGGTCTGATCTGGACCAGATCCCTGGTACCCTAGTACTCTAGGGCTGAGCTCCACTTATCAGAGCCCCACAGGCACTCAGTACATTTCATATCTGGGCCTTTGGAGCTGTGCCCAGTGCCTCAGGCTTCTTCCCTGCTCCACCCCACCTGTCACAAAGCCTCCATTTTGGAAGTGGGTAAGGTACAAAGAAGTGTGCCAAGCCTTGCACAATGCTAACCCTGTGGCAAGACATAAATAAAAGATATATGCAGCTCTACCTACAACCTCCAGACATTAACAGAGCTTTTCTGTTTGTCAGTGAAGTGCACCTGCAACCTCCACAGCTACTTTGCAGAAAGACTCTACTATGCCATGAAGGTAACCATTCTTGTCTACTGCCTCCCTTACAACCAGCCCTACACAGCACCAACTGTACAGCCAAGGAGCTCAGGGCCACTGCTGCCTTCAACAATGGGGTTCCTCTTGTCCTAACCTCTTCTGTGTCAGAACAGTTTTAGTTCTCAGAGGGCAAACCGAGTCTAGGGAAGGCTGAAGCCACATCTCCTAAAGGTGAATTTGAACTGGTACCTTAACAATGTCATCGCACAACAACCCTATGAACCTGTGTCCTAATTGCCATCCTGGAGATGGTGAAACAGGCTCATGTTCAAGGTCACACAGCTGACAGGTGGCAGATCTGGGACTTGAACTGAAACATGTCCAGTTGTGCTTTTCATTGCACCACATGGCCTCCTTTTTTTTTTTCCTTTATTGTCGTGCTGGGTGTAGGTACATTGTGGTATTTACACAGCAAGGAGATGTAAATCTCCTTGACAGCAGATTTGCTGCTGGATGTCACAGCCTGGGAACCAAGGCACCCTTGGCATTGATAAGCTCAAGGGAGGTTGCCACATCTCGCAGTTCAGTTTTTGTACCTGTGCCCAGGGTACCAATCTCTCACCACTGATCCAAAAAGGCTGCCCCAGTGGAAAAAAACATGCCATTCATTGCAGATGGAGTTTCTGGTATCTAGAACTAAACTAGAAGAGAGTTAAATTAGTATCCCAAGACTAAAGTCAGTTCCCACCTTCTCTGACACCACCTAAAATAAGAGCCACTCCAGAAACCCCAGGTCCTCTGGCCTCATCTGCCCCAGAAATGAGAGGGTGTGGGATTCCCTTGGCCATGTGGATCCATCTGACACAAGACTGATTGGAGATAGAGAGCAGGAAGACTCTGTTCATGAAATATAGCCAGCTAAGTTGATTTTAAGGACACTGTAAGTATTTTGTGTCTAGAATCCAATATGGCAGACTGGATGCACACTCCAGTGTGGGGCATTTGGTTTTGAAAAGGAGAAAGACGGGCAGTGAGTGAGAAGAGACTGAGGGAATGGAAACCCTGTGCCACAAAATCAACTCTCCTAGTGTGTCCTCCACTGAAACAGAGGCCTGTCCTGCATCTCCCTCCCTCTATAAAGCCCCAGAACCAGACCACACAGGTTTGTCTGTCATTACAGAGGTAGACAGGAAAGCCCGTCCAGTTGTGATGGTTAATCGCTGCTGTCTTGTCCAGGGAATAGGGACACATGATGGAACTCTGATAAGGAACATCGTTTCAAGGAGTGAGATTGACTTAAATCTTATCAAAAGACAATTCCAGAAGATGTATGGTGAGACTCTCAGTAGCATGATCATGGTAAGTCATGGTTCCCAATTCTAATGCCAATTTGTAGTATAGACATTCCTGGGAGACCTGAATGCTGTCACAAGTGTCCATCCCTTCCAGTGGACATCACACTTGCATTGGTTACCATATAGCATGTTCAGGGAACAGGAAGGAGAGTAGTGTGGCTAGAGCCCATGGGAAGCACATGGAGACCAAAGTATGGAGGACTGTCTGTGTCTGGCCCAAAAGTTGGCTTTGCATTTGAGTTATGGTTGCCCCTTTAAAAAATGCATCACATCCATGCAGAAAGGAGCATATCTGAAGAGACAATGAGAATAGTTTAGTGGAAATCAGTGTCCCCACTCAATCTAGATTTAAGTAATTTTGAAAGCAATCTTTTCAGGAACTCAACTGGATTGCCTAACCAGATTCCAATTAGTGAAAGTTTTAGTGTCTTCAAATGCAGAGTGCTCATTACCCCGCTATAACTCTGAGAGAAATAACTCATTTGCAATTGCTGCAAAATGAGGCCTTGAAATTTTAGTCACAGAAACCAAATCATGACAAATGTGCCCAAAGTCTTCACTTTTACTGAGTCAAGTCACTAAGCTTTCCTACAAAGGCTGATGTTAACTACATTATCCAAGAATCACATAGTTCATACAACACAGTTGGCCCTCTACATTTGTGTGTTCAATTAACTGAGGACCAAAATATTCAGGAAAAAATTGTGTCTGTATTGAACACGTATGGACTTTTTTTCTTGTCATTGTTCCCTAAATAGCATTCCATGGCATTGACATTACCTTAGGTATATAAGTAATCTAGAGAGGATTTAAAGTATATGGGAGAATTATGTAGGTTATACCCAATCACTATGCCATTTTATACAGAGCATACTCTGTGGATGCTCAAGTATGTTGGGTCCTGGAACCAACCCCCCTGAATACCGAAGGGCAACTGTATGATTAAAAATCACTTCTGCTTTAAGATGTTTTGGAATGGGGCAGCAGGGAGGCAGAAGGGTTGAGAGGGAGGGATAGAATTATTTGTGCTACTTTAGACTTCCCAGCCAACCCAACCAGGAGACAGGAGGACTAAACATAAGCCAACCTGGGCTGCTTCCAGGTCACTCACAGGTTCATTGTCATGAATTCTTTCAACCACACCTGGTGACTTAAGGCACCAGAGAGTTTTTTATTCCTTCTCAACATTCCAGCTAGATAGAGCCACAGTCACACTCTCGAAAACAAAAACACTGTTAGATAAAAATGATTCTTTCAACCTGTAAAACACAGAGCCACGGTGGAGACAGACCCAGCAGGTAGGCTAATGACTGAAGAATCCAAATAAGCTGCTTTTCCAGCAACACATAAAACCATCCCTCTCAGATTTTTGTCTAATGTCTTCACTTTATAAAATTCAGCTAAAGTTGTGAAGAAGTTGGGCAAACATTTTCTTTTGCATATTTATCACTCTCCATAGATGCCATCAAAGCAAAAATGAAGATCAATAGTGAAACTAGCATTAAAATTCCTATATAGGAATTAATAGAAAATGTATAACAACTCTGCATAGAACTCATAAATTTGATAAAGCAGGCAAGATGAATGGTTTTCCTAAAATGACAAAAAAAGGAATTTTAAGATGTATCTAAAAATCAACAAGATTTCAGGCAAATTTCCCTGAGCCGTTAAGGAATAGATAATTCCCATGAGGCCTGAACTCCTCCAGAGCATAGCAGATCTCGTCCCAGCTCTACCCCTTGACCACCATATGGTGGCAAAGGAACTGGGTAATTTGGCCTTGCTGGTTCCCCCTGTCTGTGTAACAGTCCTGTAAGGATCTTCTGATGGCTAAGAAATGGGCTTCAGCCATTAGTTCTTTGGGGCCCATCTTATTGGGGGATGAACACTACTGGATCCCTACTTGAGCTGGCTTCTGAGTCTGCCATCCACTCCTTACCTTATCTCAACAAGGTGCAAATCATCACCAATGGCTTTCTATAGACCAGAGAGTCAGTCTCACAGAGGTGAAGGGATGGTCAGTGGGTTATGACAGAGCTGTGGTCCAGGTCTATGTGGCCCAAAGCTGGGCTTGTCCACCCAAAAGCTGTGCCTCTAGGCATGGCTCCGAGCTCCCCATTTCAGGCTTGGCTCCCTGAACTACAATAACAGGTATCAAACACATGAAGGATCATGTCGAATAGTGAAGGGCTGGGCACACCAGGGTCCTGAGTGAAACATGAGAAGAGCCCTGGGGCAAGTGACAGTATAAGGAAGCTACCCACACATCTTCCTTGTTTAAGAGCAGACTTGTCTCTGTGATTCATTTCCCATAACCATCACCCATATAGTTGGTAAGAGAATCAAAAGGAGATACAAAAGAATAGCCTGAAATGAGGAACATGGAAAGAGGGGAGACATGGCATGGAGTCTGTGGCTTAGGAGCCCTTGAAGGGACAGGCTCCACCCAAGGAACACAACTCTTAGAAACAATAGCAGTTGCTCCTGACGGGACAGGCCAAGGCCACAAACACTCTCTTCTAACCATCCTGTGTCTCCTTCCCCAGAATGACACCAGTGGTGACTACCAGAATGCTCTCCTGAACCTGGTGGGCAGTGACCCATGAAGGCACCAAAGAAGAAGGCCAAGAAGCCAGAGCCCAGGGCCCTGTTTGCACAACCTTGGCCACGGATGGGGGTGGGGGTGGGAACCTCAGCAAGATTTTAGTCTTCTATCTCCCAGATTCCAGTGCTCTCCAGCCAACATTACCGAACCAGAGGGTGAGATCAACCTGGGCTTCTCTTTCCACCTGTGCCCCAGGTCATTTCCAGGTGTGTGTACAATGCCAACCTGAGCATACTCTGGCAGAGTCTCTTGGGTCATTTCTCCCTCCCTCAACAGGAGCTTCCCAAGCTTCTTTGGCACAGAATCAACTGGGTACAGGTTGCACAGATGCCTTAGCCTTCCCCATTGACTGAATCAAGGTCCCCTGAGGAGGAACCAGGGAACATAGAGTTCTAACAGGTGTCTTAGTTGACATGCTTCTTTATCACACAACCAGAGAGAAGTCAGAAGAGTGTTTGGTTTTAGAGCCCATGACCATGAGCAACTGAGAAAGGGATACACACCTGCGCCCACTGGCAAGTCTACAACATTCATTTACCAGTCTCATTGGAAAACATTAAACTGTAGGTGGAGGAAAATTCTCACACCATTCTAACAACAGAGCAATCAGATTAGGCCCAAGGACCCTGTGCCAAAGAAGTTCAGGCTTCTCCAGTCATTGACCAAATCAGCTGTCCATTGCTTCCATGTTGATAGGGAGAACACTCAGGCCTGAGCATAGCTCTTAACTTGACCTAATGGCCCCTGAGCCTGGATATCGAAGAAAGTGAGGAAAGTCTTCCTAAATATTCATTGTATTTTCAAAACAATAAACATCTGCATTTTCGAAAAGTGTCTTTGGGAGTCCAGGCATGGTGTCTCAAGCCTATAATCCTAGCTACTTGGAAAGCAGAGATCAGGAGGATTGCAGTTTAAGGCCAGCCAGGGCAAAAAGTTCACAAGATCCATCTCAACCAATGGCTGGGCGCAGTGGTGCATGCCTATCATCCTAGCTAGGTAGGAAGCATGAATAGGAGGGTCAATGTCTAGGCCGGCCTGGCATAAAGGGAGACCCTATCTCAAAAATAACCAACGCAAAAAGGGCTTGTGGAATGGCTGTAATGGTAGAGCCCTCTCCCCAGAAAAGTGTCTCTGGAATTTTAGCAGTGACCAGAGAAAGACCAGTTTCATTGGTCAGAAACAGAACTTTGGGGAATAACCAAATCTGAATACACCTGTGGACATTTCCCTAAGTGAACACTTGGGGTCACCTGTGCCCACAGACACCCTGGGGGACTCTTGTAAATAAGGATGGTTTCAATTCTCCTGATTTGTGGCCTAAATTCGAATGTCTCAGGGTTGGAAGGGGCTTTAAAAGTCACCTGGTCCTATTCTATCCTATAGCTTGACTGCCCCAGGAGCATCCACCCAGGTGATCCTCAGTGTATTTGGGCTGTACTTGGTATATATAGGAGTAGTTGGCTGCCTCCAAAGATGGGAATTCAATTGCCTCCTTGGATGGTCCAGTCTTTTTCCAAGTGGAGTGATCTGTAGTGTTCTTCTTTGAACTAAGCCAAAATCTGCCCCATCGTGCCCAATCCTTTCAACTCTGCCCTCTAGGGCCACAACATTTATTGCTTTCCAGTAACAGCATTTTGATATGGAAAGGAGGTCCACAAACTACACTAAGACTTCTGCCAAAGCTAAGTGTTCTCGGTTCCTCCAATTGTCCCAACTGGATCCTAGTTTGGAGCCATGGCCTCTGAACATGCTCCAGGTGCAAATTCCAAAGTGCGAAGTGGTAAGGGCACACCTGAAGTGAGAGATCAAGGGGACGGGAAGAGTGTGGACCCTGAACTCATAGATGGGAGGTGGGCTCTGGCTCTTCCCTGAACTGGTTTCATGACTGTGACCTAGTCACTTTCTCTCTCTAAGACTCCATTTCCTTATCTCTCAATACAAGGTAGGGTCCTGGTTATAATGTTGCATATCAAACAGCCCAGGAGATGAAGGTTTGAAGTTATCATTTTCTGATGCTCAAAGATTCTCATTCAGCCAAGGTACACTGTACAGATGCTTGTCTCTGCTCCAGCAAGTCAGGACCTTAATCGGAAAGACCTAAAGGTTAAGCTGACTCTAGAGCAGGGGGCTGTAATCACTTGGAAACTTCTTCACCCCCATGCTGGTGCCTGAGAGAGATGGCTGGTAGGCCAGCCTCTGCTGAGACTGTCCTCTGAGCTTTAGCACTTGATCTGTCCAGCATGGTGGCCCCAGAGTAGTTGCTATAGTCTTCCAGTGGACTGAATTTCCCTCTGTGAGTCCACCTTAGAGTCACATGACATCATTTCCCTGGTGCCCTATTGATAAAAGACATCACCAGAATGTGAGAGGGCCACCTGGCTGTGACATCTGTCACCCCATTGATCACCAGTGTTGATTTGGCTGATCTGCTTGGCTAGTCCAATGTCCCCATCTGTCAATGACAGGAGAGTCAAAGAATTTGAGGACATTTTTTTTAATCCACCTCAAATGGTGCTCAAAATATTTAACACTGGGCAGCACAGCCCATTCACATGAATAGCTGCTCTGTGTAGAACTGAAGCAGAGATCCAGAGCCCTCCTACAGGGTCAGGCCTCAATCCTTAGTGCTGAGTTGGAGGATTGTCTGTGGGACCCCAGGGGAGGTATCAGGGAGAGTAGCAGCTACATACTGATATGTTTCACTCTGCTCCAGCTACCATAACAAAATACCACAGATAGTTAGGTGGCTTAAACAACACAAACTTATTCCTCTCACTGCTGTAGATGCTGGTGAATCTAAGGACAAGGATTGACCTCTTAGTTCCTGGTAAGGGCTGTCTTGGGCTGTCTTCCCAGCTTGCAGAAGGCTACCTTCTCAATGTGTCTTCATGTGGCCTCTCCATGCTCACCTCCCCACCCAGAGGGAAAGAGCTCTCTCTGTCTTCCCCTTCTTCTACACACTAACCCATCATGAGGACCCTACCTCCCTGACTTCATCTAACCCCAGCTCCCTCCCAAAGACTCAAGGGGCTAGGGCTTCCACACAAACACTCCGTCCATAACACAGCAACGCTGAAGCATTCCAGCAGTTTCACAGAAGTGTTTAGCAGCTGCTCCAGGGTGTGTCGGCTAGATCTAACCCTGGAGATGACTCTTTTTTCCTTTTTTTAGCTCAAGTCCTCCCCTGGACTTCTTTTCAGTGCTGAGTCACTGTCTGACCACCAACTGCTTTCCTCCGCCAAAGCAATTCGAGAAGGACTTAGAGAACTCCTCGGCCCTGCAACCCTCTGCATACTCTGGCTAGCTGGGCACAGGATTCTCCCAGCCTACCCCAAGACAGACCTTATGTGGCCAAATAGGAGTTTTGAGAGAAGCTACAGCCAAGGAGACAGGAAGTACCATGTTCAATTGTGTCCAGAGGGAGGAATCTGTTTCAGCAGCATCATGAAGCAATTCACCACTTGCTGTGGAACAAAAAGCACATTGGTCTAGAGACACTGAACAGGACAGAAACAGGAGCTCCCCTCAGATTAGAGGGCCAGAGCTAGCCTTCCCCCAGGGTACCTCCAGCTAAGCGTTTATTATCAGGTGACTCTTGTGGCAGCTAGGGAAGGAAGGGGACCTGGCCGGGACAAGTACCACACTCAGCACCTCCAGACTGGTTTTGCTGAAATAACCTTTCAGGCTCTTCTAACCAAACAGTCACATTCCAAAGGTATTTTTGCAATTGCCATTTGGGTTTTTTGTTTGTTTGTTTGTTTGTTTGTTTTATATATCTGTGTTTCTAAAGATAATGTGGGGTCTGCCTAGTGCGGTTTCAACAAAGGAGAAAGAAGAAGGAGTTGTGACAAAGATTCTCTGCTTGGACAAGCTTTAGTCAGTCTCCCAAACCTTCTCTTAGGCCCACTTGTGCACGTCCTCTTACCACCCAGTTACAGCAAAAACCCCGTGAAGTCAATTCAGCAAGAGTGGCAACCTCCATCTCTGATCGCCTTCATCCTCTCTCCCCCTCCCCAAGTGACTTCTGCTCACTCTGGTCTTCAGCAAGAGTCACAATAGTGGCTTTAACCAGAATCCTGCCACCACCACTCCTGACGTTTCTTCTGGATCATTTTCCATTGCTGATCCTCACCCTGCTCCTTGGTTCACAGTCCGCCTTTTCCTAGTATCATCCATAATTGAGCACAATCAAATGAGATCTCTTTTCTCTTGATGCAAAAGCTTTTTTTTTTCCACTTTAACTATTGTCCAGCTCTGTGTTCTCATTGACCGTGGGCATTTTCTGCTGTGGACTTGCCATGGCAAGTGTCTGTTGTAGTGTTGCTGTTTCTTAGCTCTGAATATGAGGTTATATACATGAACTCTCTCTCTAGTCTCAAATCAAGGTCTTTGATTCACTAGGAGCTGGATTCACCTTCTTCCATTGCAATACCAGAACAGGATCCTGAAAATTGAGTCCTAAATCTGTCCTATGGCAGGATTTGGGACATGGTTTTCCTCCTCCACAGGATTCTGTGAGCTTCCAATAGTCTTTCAGAATTTTTTTTTTTCCTTAAACTGTCAGAGTGGATAGTCTTGTCAGGGACTAAGAACCCTCTACTGCACAGTTACTGCTCTAATTACCTCTTACCTATTTGTGTGTCTTCTTCAGAAAAACTATGCACTCCATAAGGGAAAGAACTTTTGTTTTGTTCATTTTTGAACATTCGGTGCCTGTATTATTTGTCTTTCTCATCACTGTGACCAAATTCCAGACATACATACCTAAAGGGAGGGATGATTCATTCTGCTCACAGTCTCAGAGTTCAGTCCATGGTTGCTTGACCCCATGTATTTGGGCAGAACATCATAGTGGCGGAGCATGTGTCACAGAGAAGTTTCTCCACCTCATGGCAGACAGGAGGCAGAGAAAGAAACAGGAAGGGGCCAGGACAAGCTATCCCCAAGGACTGGCTCCCAGTGACCTACTTCCTCCAGCTATGTCCCACCTCCTAAAATTTCCAGAACCTTCCAAAATAGCACCACCAGTTACAGAATAAGCATTTAACATATGAGCCTATGGGACATGCCATACTTAAACCGTAATATTGTCTATCATATAGCAGGCTTTTAATGAATATTTTGAGTGAACAAACACAAAGTCCAGAATTTGGGCACAGAAATACGGGTGACAAGCCTGAGCCAATTCTTTATGGTCTCTGATTCTAAGAAGACTCTGTAGTCCACCATTCTCCTTTGTGGAAGGAATTCCCTGCCAACCCTGATGAAAATAGTTCTGTGACAGACCTAAGGGGAGATGGTGGCTGTTTGACTAATTGGCACCCACTTGGCCCCAGATCCTGTTTCAGATTCTGCCACTGCAATGAAAAACAACGCAGCACAATCAGTTCCTAGTGGAGCCTCAGGGTCAAAGTTGCCACTACAGACTACCCATCCAGTGGGACATGAGGACGATGACCAGAACATACACCAAGCACTGGCTTCCTGCTGTTGGGAGGAGAGGGCAGGAAAGCTGGGCTTGGCCTATTTAGTGTTTATCCTTGAGCTGGGGAAAGGTCACCTGCCTGAGAGTTGAATACATGAGCAAAATCCAATCCTCTTGGTAAGGAACAAAGGGGAGAGGGTGGATTTATAGCCATTGCCCCATGTTGTTACTATAACCCAAGTTACTATCATTATTCTAACTGCCACCAGGTTGAGACTAGTCAGGTAAAGTGAAACTTGAACAATTCTGAAAGATGACTCAGTGCTTATCAGGTAGACAGGACAGGAAAGAACATTCCAGGCAGAGGGAGGAATGCAAACAGCAGAAGGGTTCTGGCCTGTAG